TACCGGCCGTAACCCTATAGTTACGCGTACCCCAGGTTGAGAACCGCTGTTCTTCATAAGTCTTGGTTAAATTATGCGTTATTTTTATGAATTGTGACTATTTTTGTATTAGTATGATTTCAATTTGGAAAAAAATGTACTTGAGAAAATGGCAATATGGAGTAAAATACGGGAAGAAGCTAAAATTAAACGCCATTCACAGGCGGCTGAATTCAAAAAACAAGATTATTTAGATTTAGATAAGTTAACACTATTAAATCCAGCACAACCACAAAATACTCAAGTCTTACAACCAATACCTGCTCAACAAATGAACTTCAAAATGTCTTCATATGACACCATGCTCACAAAAAATATAAATATTTCAGATTTTGAGTCTGATACATCCAGTCCATTTGACAACATGGAATTAAAAACTATTAATGATTTAGAAGAATTAGCTTCCGTCTTAAAACCAACACCTRTCTACAATAATACCAATTCAAAAAATGTTCAACAATCTGATATAAATGTTTCTCAATATTATCCAAAACCTATTTACAATAATTATCCAGAAAATTTTAGTAGCAATAAATTTTTGCATAGTCCAAATACAAAAACAAACCAGACTATTCGCATGTCCAATTTAAATGTTTTTGATGATCAAAAGGATATAGCAAATTTGCCACCYGTTACTATGCCAAATATTTTATTACAATTGGAGGCTGATTTAAATACTTTAAAGTTTAATGATGAATCACCAGTAAGTGTCATAAATCTGAAAAAATTATTATTGTAAACAAATTATTACAAAATTTTCTTTCAGAATGATCCACAAAAATCTCTACCACACATTACAACAAATGGGTCTAAATCGCCTTCATGTTCATTTCCTAATCCATACAGATCACTTTCTCCAACTAGCCAATGTCTTGCTGATCAAATGCATCAAATGGGATTTTCTTTATCGCGTGCTGCACGAGCTTGCAAACTATTTGGTAAAGACGAATCAAAGGTATGTAATTTGATTATCTAATCATCTAACATGATTGTAACTATTYATTATAATTTCAAGGTGATAGAGTTTTTAATTCAAATACATTCCATTGAAGAGTCTAGCGGTTATACTGCTGATCGTGTAGAACAAGCACTAGTGGTTAATAATTTTAATGCTGATCATGCAATCACWTTTCTTAAAAATGTTGATAGGCTTATTGATTTCGGATTCCGAGAAGAAAATATATGCAGTGCACTAGTAAAATGCAATAATGATCCTGATAAAGCACTTGATAGTCTTGTGTCTTATTAAATAATATAATTTGCACAAGAATATGTTAACCTAAACGATAACTATGTATTGTTTAAAATTATCATTGACAGCCAAACAGGTGTGTTCAATTTATTGTGATAAATATATTATACACGTGTTACAAAAATTGAAACATATTTTAAAATGGTATACATGTATAATTATTATAATAATCTTTTTATTTCATGTAATAATTGCTTTACACTGCTTTATGTTCCCTACTTATATTCTGTAATAGAATTTTAGTATAATATGAATGATTTTATGTATACATATTTTTACTATATACATTTTCATTATTTTATTTTAGAGAAAATAATTATATAATTAATATACATGTATACCTTAAATGTTACTTTTTGTTAAATTACGTATTACCTTTTCTCTTATAATTTATTATATTTTTTTATTATTAAAAATATATCTGCTTTTTTCATTTTTTATCCTT